TACCACTGACCCTATCTCTTTAACCTTTATTCCATATTCCATATTTCACAACCCAATATAAACTGCACATACATATAAGTCCTATTCTACTGCAAAGCAAATGCCAAATCAATATTTAGACTAAGTACCTGTAGGGTCATCCTGTTCGGCTTCTCCGTCAGCCTCTTCTTTCTCTGTCTTCTCCGACTTCACTTCTTCTTTCACCTCAGAGGGGGCCTGTTCCTCCTCCACTTCAGCCTGTGAATAATAAACATACACTTAAAATTTTAACCTGTTGGACAAAGTGTACAGTAAGTAGCAACTTCACATAAGACCTTATAGACAAGGACTTTGTGTGAGCAAGAGACCCTTGCAAAGTCCCTAAAACATGTTGCTGTTTCATCCTCTTGCTTTTTTTCAGAAATACAATACTAGTATAACTTTGGCTTTGATGTTATATGAAGGTTGTAATGAACTGAATATGTAGTAAAATGTCCATATTTATACATATATTGATTTTGAAATGTAATTAGGAAATCATATATGCACCACGTAGAATGGCCATGCATCCCCATGCCTTGAATTGTGAGTCATATGGAGGGCCCTTCCTGCATTCCTTTCCCATGATAGCAATTTTTCAGAGAAGATTACACAAATCAATTTAGGAGAGATACCTACTGGGCAAAACACATATGCACACAAAAGTTATGATAATAAGCCACGAAAAAATAAAAACCAATCCCAATAAGGGTAGTCCCTGCTGTCAATGCAGTATTGACATTTCCCATCTATGAGATATACATTTAATCTAACCAATACTTCAGTGGCTATCCTTCTTCCTCCCGAAAAATTACTGTATATAATCAACCCCACTCAGATAAATGGATGTTTATCAATCTTACGAGCAACAAACAAAGCACTACATCTATCTTGTCAAAAACAATGTGGCATGTCAAAATTAGCCCCATGAAACAGATTCACCTCCGCAACATCAATTTACATCGTCCTTTTCACCGGTCATTCCTATTCGAAGAGTAAATACAACCCTTCAAACCTTTGGTGAAATATTCCAAAATGCCCGACTTTGCGACACACGTACCTTCCCTCTTTTCTTTTTCCCTTTCCGTACGTCATCTTCTTCTGCTGTTTCTACCGGTCGTTTTAGATTGGTCACTTCCTTACTCTCCATAAGTAGGCCGTTCTTCTTTTTCGTAATTTTGTCTAATTTTCGGGAAATAATACACGAAAAAATTGACGTTCTCCCAAGCGAGTCAATAACAAGTTTGTAAACACTGAATGGAGCTGTTGTGACTGTCGTACCTTAAGTGTCTATTGTTGTACGGCATTTTGTAATCGTCAAAGGCATCTTTTCTGCTCTTTACGAAATATTTACGAAATCATAATATTTCAAGATTATTATAATAATTTTATGTATTTTTTCTCTCTATTAATGGATTATTGTTTCGTTATGGCTTTTTAGGTGATTAAATTGTTGGAAGTAATTATCGTGCGCTACCTGGTTGCCATTCTGTTACGTATACTTTTCGCAAATTGAATCGAATATAATTCAGGAAATATTGTAGTTTTTTATAAGACTTTGTGTTAATTGTTACATGTTCTTCAATATCTACTAATCATGCCTATTGTCATTTTCAATACTTGGCGAAATTAGAATAATTATCTCATTTCTCAACAACTCTTCCTCTTTCCCCCAACACGCACACTCGCTCACACACACACACACACACCACACACTCTCTCTCTCTCTCTCTCTCTCTCTCTCTCTCTCTCTCTCTCTCTCTCTCTCTCTCTCTTCTCTCTCTCTCTCTCTCTCTCTCTCTTCTCTTCTTCTTCTATCTATCTCTATCTATCTATCTATCTATCTATCTCTCTCTCTCTCTCTCTCTCTCTCTCTCTCTCTCTCTCTCTCTCT